GAATACAGGCCATGCTACTGGATGTAGTTTATCGTCATACCCAGGACAGAAATATTGTTGTTCTATGAAGTAAAATTAAGATCTGAATTTACCGCTTCTTTTTTTTTTTTTTTTTTTTTTTTTTTAATGGGCAGCCTGTAACGTTTCTAAATAGCTTATTCATGTACTAAGTTCTTCAATGTTCTTTTCAATTACAACTACTGCTGCCGGATGTAATTTATCGTTATACCCAGGAAGGAAATATAGGGGTTCTGTGAGTTAGAAAGAAGAGGATTTACTGATACCTGCAATTTGTTTTTTTAGATATTTAAATAAGTACTTAAAATGGTGAATTTATCTTAAATTTCGCATGAAATATTCTGATTTCTTTTTTGCTTCCATTTTCGTATTTTCTAAAAGAATTTTCAGAATTTTACAGAATTTTACAGAATTTTCAGAATTTTACAGAATTTTACAGAATTTTCAGAATTTTACAGAATTTTCAGAATTTTACGCTAAAGAGCAGTCTGGTCCAGTTTTCTTTATTTTTCTTCTTATTATTTTTTATTAACATTTTACCTGTTTGTTTTTTATTTTTTATTTTTTCGAAACTTCTTTTCATTTCATCACGATAGAAAAGATGTCTGCGATGATAGGGGGTTGGAAGTGAGGATTTTACCTTACTCACTCTGACGCGTGGGTGAGGCATTCCAAGAGGCGAATGTCAACATCAAAGGGGAGAGACAAATAACTGACAGATTCGTTATCAATGTACACATCTATATTGACACACACCCTCGCAAGCATAAACACAAACACACATACACACACACGCATTTATACACAAAAACATAGACACGTACACACATATAGTATGTTTCTTTTTACAATCTTTCACACTCAGTAACCTCTTGAGTTTGAGCGGTGTCATTGCCTTCTTGGATTTGAAATTTAATATACACACACAATATATATATATATATGTTAAGAAATGGACAAGGTCCGACAATTTATTTATTAAAGACATTTTTATTTATGTTTAACGTTGTTATTTTATAGATACAATATTTCAAATGCTCTGTTTAAGATAAACAGTATTAAATTTTACCGGCCTGAATGTGAGAAATTTTCATAGAAAATTTCGTTCATTGGATTCGAAATCCTATACGGAACTGTCATATACACTGACATGCCTTAACCACTCGGCCACCATGAACACACAGGTCACACATATAAATATATCCATATATATATATATATAACTGCTATGGCGTATGAATGTGTCATATGTTAAGAAATGGAAAGGTTGATTTAAATTATTTAATATATTTTTTTGTTTATTCGTTATTTTTAATGGATACACCATGAATTTTTTAAATAAATTCATGGAAGATTGTAGTTTATATTTTTACTATAAGGAACTGTAGTGGTTCTATTAAATAATGCAGGTTCGAACTTGGTATAAACAGAAAAATATATATATATATATATATATATATATATATATATATATATATATATATATATATATATATATATATATATATGTATGTATGTATTGATTAAATTATTTAATATATTTTTGTTTTTTCGTTATTTTAAATAATAAATACATTGTATCTATTAAAATAAGGTATAAACAGAATATTTTATATTTTTATTTTATGTATGTATTCATTTTTTGAAATTAAATACATTGAGCTCTTTAATATTTTATTTTTATTTTCCTATGATTTTGATTATATACCAACGGATTTGTTACACACACACACACACACACACACATATATATATATATATATATATATATATATATATATATATATATATATATCTGGTCATCCCATAAGTTCTGTACGAATTTTGAATAAAGAAAACAAGTGACCAAATGTTACATTTAATTACAGATTCAATCAACAATGTATTTTCCCTGATTATCTATGACTTCCTTCCATCTACAAACACAAATGTCAGTTTTAACTTCTTCCTGTGTTACAAAAGCTGTTTCTTCCAAATGATTCTGTAAGCTAGGAAACAAATGGTAGTCTGAAGGAGCAAGATCAAAAGAATATGGTGAATGAGGAAATTTCTCCCAACCAAGTTCTTCGATCTTTTGTGACGTGATTCTTGCTGTGTGGGGTCGCGCATTGTCCTGATGAAACATCACCTCTTTTCGATTCACTAGAGCAGGTCTTCCTCAGCAACATTATATTGAACATTTTCGGCCCATAAACATCGCATACGTTACCTCTCTCTCTCTCTCTTTCTCTGTGTATGTATATATATATATATATATATATATGTGTGTGTGTGTGTGTGTGTGTGTGTGTGTGTGTGTATAAATAAAAAGAAAGAACAGTAAGATATATAATCCGGTGTTCTTATAGATATTTTTATTTTTACAAAATAGTGCTCAATGTAAATTTACAGAGAATTAATATTATAAATTAATTGATTTAAAATATGTTTTTTTCCGCTACACATTTCTAACCATGTTTCAAAAATGGAAGCTATAAGCCACGAATTTAATTTTGCAATTAAATTAAAGACATTAATCCCATTTCATCCTCAAGCTAATTCGCTTGAGGATGAAATGGAACTAATGTCTTTAATTTAATTACAAAATTAAATTCGGACCTTCCATTTTTGAAACATGGTTAGAACTGTGTAGCGAAAAAAACATATTTTAAATCAATTAATTTATATATATATATATATATATATATATATATATATATATATATATATATATATATATGGTGATGATAGATTCTCCGTCGTTTTCGATGTACAAAATGTCTTTCAGTTCAGTTTTATGCCAATGATTCGTATGGGACATCAATCCTGCATGGGATTTGCAAACAAAACCACACAAAGATTTTACCATCATATGGGCTGATGTATTAACATGAGATTTAGTCTTAATTCTTAATTCTCTCAGATGGTTGAGACAATTCTTTTCAAAGTTAGTTATACTTCGATAACAGGTGTTTCTCCAGTTTGCTCGGTTTTCAAAAGAAATTTCGAACACTTTTATAGGGATGTTTTGCAGCAATTAAATTGTATTTAAGTTTATCCTTGACGTGTAACAAAGGACGGACAACATTACAGCTACCCGAACCCGATATATACCCGGTCTACTGGGAATTTTTGGCCGAGCATACAGGCTCGGATACCCCACATTAATTTCGGCCTTGTGCCATATCTGACCGCGTGGCGCGGTTGGTAGATATCTTGCAGCTGGAGATTCGTCTCCAGCTCTGCTGGTCAAACTGTCTGCCTCCGAGCAGAGAGGATCCCCCAAATAAATGTCACATGGAATAATTAGTATACCAATGCAATATCTCATTTATTGAGAACTCCGAAAACATAAAAATCTATATAGCTTGCACAAGCCATCATTTCAAAAAGAGATTCAATCAACATCAAACTTCATTTAGAATGAATAAATACCGAAATCAGACGTCCCTATCGAAATATTTCTGGCACTTAAAAGAAATCAAAACATCTAAAACATCTACAGTAAAATGGAAATTGATAAGAAACGCTAGAATATGTAGGTCTTTAAATGACCCATGTCCTTTGTACATACATGAGAAACTATATATTACTAAGTTTATAAAAAATAAAATTACTGAATCAAAGAAATGGAATAGCTATTCTTTGCCGACATTTTCAAAATTTTTTCCTTAAATAATATCTAAAAATAAAAAAAAAATGAGAGCTGGTAATATACATCTTTATATTTGATATGTAATAATAAATTTTAAATAATTTAAGTTATTCTATTACATTTATTTGATTTAAAAAGAAATATAGTCTATTAGTAATTAAAAGTAAAAATAATATTTTAAAATTGTAGTTCAATATAACGTATTCTAACCCAAGCACCCCTTTTAGAAAGAATACATGTGTATGCAAGTACGAATTTAACGGAAAAATGCCGAAAAACTTTTTGTCGTTAACAAAAAAAAACAAAAAAAAACAGACGATATGCGTTGAACGGATGTCATAATTCGTTGAAAAATGCACCCCTACTCTACCTAGACATAAACTCTTTTTCGAACGTAACTCATAATTGATACAACAATAGTTAATAAAAATGAACACGATTCTGCCCTTGTCTAAATGATTGGATTTCTCTGAATCCTTGGAAACAAAAAAAATATGAATTGTATGTGCGTTTAAAACTCAGTAAATTTAAAAATAAGTTATTCCAAGATTCGCTTGAGGATGAAACAGAAGTAATACTTTTAATTCAAGTTTTAAGATTCGGTTTTTGAAACATGATAATTCCTGTGTAGCAAAGAAACCATATTTTAAATCACTTACTCGTTAGGTAAATAATCCAAAGTACTTTAGTATTTTTGTTATTATTTTTAAAAAAATAGTGCTTGGTACAAAAATAGAGCATAAATATAATTATTTATTTAAAGATATGATTCCAACGCTACATAAGAGTTCTCATGTTTCAAAACAAGAGCTGAAAACTTCAATATAATTATTTGAATTAAATTGAATTAAGGTATCAAGCTCTGTTCCATAAAAAATTTCGCTTGAAGATGGAACAGAGCTTGGTACTTTAATTCAATTTAATTCAAATAATTATATTGAAGTTTTCGGCTCTTGTTTTGAAACATGAGAACTCTTATTAACGTTGTAATATTTTTAAATAATAATATTTTTAATATATATATATATATATATATATATATATATATATATCCGTTTGTATAATCCAGGCGAGTCCTATTAACACAATATAGAATTTGAAATATGTTAAAACTAACTCACAAAAGAGCGCTCAATGTTTATTTTCATTAAACAGAGCAAATTTTCTTAACAATTTGAATTAAGATACCTTTAGTAACTGACGATTTTCACCTACGAATTTTAAATTTAAAATCCGTAGGGTTTTTCAAACTGTTTCAGGTATCAGTTTATAGTAGGATAGTTGGAAAGAAAGAACAGCGCCTTCTTCTCTCCATATCTCCCACTATGTGCCCTAGATAGATAGTAACGGAATGAGATAGATAGATAGATAGATAGATAGATAGATAGATAGATAGATAGATAGATAGATAGTAACGGAATGAGATAGATAGATAGATAGATAGATAGATAGATAGATAGATAGATAGCAACAGAATGAGATAGAGAGATAAATAGATTGTAACGGAATGAGATAGATAGATAGATAGATAGATAGATAGATAGATAGATAGATAGCAACAGAATGAGATAGATAGATAGATAGATAGATAGATAGATAGATAGATAGATAGATAGATAGATAGATAACAACAGAATGAGATAGATATAGAGATAGATAGATTGTAACGGAATGAGATAGATAGCAACAGAATGAGATAGATAGATAGATAGATAGATAGCAACAGAATGAGATAGATAGATAGATAGATAGATAGTAACGGAATGAGATAGATAGATAGATAGATAGTAACGGAATGAGATAGATAGATAGATAGATAGATAGATAGATAGTAACGGAATGAGATAGATAGATAGATAGATAGATAGATAGATAGATACATAGATAGATAGATAGATAGCAACAGAATGAGATAGATAGAGAGATAGATTGTAACGGAATGAGATAGATAGCAACAGAATGAGATAGATAGATAGCAACAGAATGAGATAGATAGATAGATAGATAGATAGATAGATAGATAGATAGTAACGGAATGAGATAGATAGATAGATAGATAGATAGATAGATAGATAGATAGATAGATAGCAACAGAATGAGATAGAGAGATAGATAGATTGTAACGGGATGAGATAGATAGATAGATAAATAGATAGATAGATAGATAGATAGCAACAGAATGAGATAGATAGATAGATAGATAGATAGATAGATAGATAGATAGATAGATAGATAGTAACGGAATGAGATAGATAGATAGATAGATAGATAGATAGATAGATAGATAAATAGATAGATAGATAGATAGCCACAGAATGAGATAGATAGATAGATAGATAGATAGATAGCAACAGAATGAGATAGATAGATAGATAGATAGATACATACATACATACATACATACATACATACATGGATAATGACAGAACTGATAATGAGAAAAAAAAGAAGAAACACCTATATTTATCATTAATGTTGATAGATAAATAGATATGAACAGACTGGGAAAGATAGATAGATGAACATAATGATAGATAGATAGATAGATAGATAGATAGATAGATAGATAGATAGATAGATGTGAGCAAACTGAGATAGGTAAGTATGATCACATTGGTATAGATCGCTAGAGAGCTTGGTAAATTGTATTAAAATACGTCGACAAAAAATTGCAGGAATCAATGAAAAGTCATATGACATCTTTTCCAGAAATCACTTAAAAAAATAATAAAAAAAAAGAAAAGAAAACGCCAGCCGAAAATATCCTTCAAAAAATGAAAGTAATCTCATAATAAGAATCCTAATTTTGACATAAATGCCGGTGTTCCAACGAGAAGTCCATTGTCATTTCTTTGTCATCGAACGGGAACGATGAATGTACGGAATTCCTGGATGTCCGCCATTTTTTTTATGCTTTATGTCGTCATTGTAAAAACGCCAACGTCCTTGATGCAGCGGCTTTTGCGATTATTAGAGTTGTCTTCCCTTTGCTTTTTCCTTCAGAATATACGCTCGAGGGAATCGGGAAATAAAAGAAATAAACTCGGCTTAAAAGTTCAGCTGAGGAAATGAAGTTTGTTCGGTTACTTGAAGGAATTGGAGATGAAGTCAATGATGACAACATCGTTGACAACAACGTTTAAAACCAGGAAATAGAACAGGAAGAAACGAATGAATGAATGAATGAATGAATGAATGAAAGGCAGAAAATGAATATTGGGAGCGAAAAGCAGCCATGATGGTTTTGAGAAAGATAATGAAGAAAAGAAAGACTGAAGAAAAAATTACAGAGAAGGAATTTAAGTTAGAGTGAAAAAGATTCGGAATTGAGAAAAGAAAGAAAGAAAGAAAGAATATGAAAGAAAGAAAAAAAGAAAAGAAAGAAAGAAAGAAAGAAAGAAAGGGTGAAAGAAAAAAGAAAAAGAAGACGAAAAGAAAGAAAGAAAGAAAGAAAGAAAGAAAGAAAGAAAGAAAAATGAAAAGAATGGAGGAAAGGAAGTGATAGCATAAAGAAAGACACAAAAGAAGAGAAGCCGAAAGAAAGAAAAAGATAAAAGAAATTCTCGAATGAATGAAAGAAAAAGAAGAGAAAGCGAAAAGAAAGGAAGATAAATGAAACGAGGAAAATAGATCTAAAAAAGAAAAGAAGAAAGAAAAAAAGAAAAAAGGAAATGAAGAAAGGAAGGGGAAGTAAAAAGAAAGCAAGGAGGAGAAAAATATCAAAAGAAAGAAAATATAAGAGAAAAAAGAATCATGAAAAAGAAAAGTAACGAAAACAAAGGAAGATAAAAGAAAAGGGCAAAGTAAAACTAAGAAAGAAAGAAAGAAAGAAAGAAAGAAAGAAAGAAAGAAGAAGGAGAAAGTATAAGAAAAAAGAGAGGTCTGAATTGTGGAATAAATAAAAGACATGGCGAGAAAAAATAAAATGGCGAGAAAGATGGAAGTAGATGAGAAATGAAGGAAGGAAGAAGTAAAAGAAAATATTGGTAGAAAGAAAAAAAGAAAGAAAAGAAAGAAAGAAAAAAAGAAAGAAAGAAAGATGGGGAATTTTACGAAAGAACATGTTAGACATAAGAAAGAAAGAAAGAAAGAAAGAAAGAAAGAAAGTAAAGAAAAATGAAAGAAAGAAAAACAAAAGAAGACAAAGAAAATGGAAGCAAGATAACAGAGAAAAGGAATATAAAAGAAAGAAAAATAGAAAGAAAGAAACAGAAATGAAGGGGAAGCAAAAAGAATGAAAAGAAAAGAAAAGAAAAAAGACGAAAGAAAGGAAAAAGATAAAAGAAAATAGTATCATAACAGAATGAGAGAATGAAAAAGAAAAGTAGAGGAAAAGAATGAAAGCTAAAACAGAAATGGAAAGTAAAAGAAAGAACAAAAAAATAAGACGAAAGAAACGAAAATCAAGATAAAATGAAAGAAAGAAAAACAAAAGAAGATAAATAGAAAGGAAAAAAAATAAAATAAAATTAAAGAGTTAAAGAAAAAAAAAAGAAAATAGAAATATAAAAAGAAAGATACGAAGCGGACGTAAAAAGGAAAGAAAGACGAAAAAATGAAAGAAAATAAAGCCATGAAAGAAAGAAAGAAAGAAAGAAAGAGAAAGGAAGATAAAAGAAAAGAGAAAAGTAAAAGAAAGAAAGAAATGGCGGAATGTAAAAATAAAACTAAACAAGGAAGAATGCAACGTAGATAAGAATTAATTCAGAAAATAAAAGAACTTAGCGAACACCATATGGTAATCATCTTATGAGCATTGATTAACAAGGAAGGGCTCAAAGCCTATAAAACTGTCATATAGGAATAAAGTGTCGCTACCGACACTTGGGTTTGAACACAGATCGCCAGAGAGCAAGCACAGTCGACCTCATCTTGAAATAATTAGATTACGTGTCGAGTAAAGCAAAAAAATATATATGGAAATTAGCGGCGTTCAAGGGCGTTACTATTGTATCAGTGATTTATAAAGTCTTTCCCACAAACAGATATTACAAAAAATTATCTTCTTCTTCTTCTTCTTCTTCTTCTTCTTCTTCTTCTTCTTCTTCTTCTTCCTCTTCTTCTTCTTTATGTGCTGGGTTCCTTCGGAGCGTAGGCGATCATGGCTCTCCACAATGTCCTGTCCTTCGTGGCTCTTAATATAATGTTGCCTTTTATTATTTCTCCTAAACCCTGTTTCGCCATCCATTTACGAATTCTCGTTAGGTAGTTTATGCGAGGGTTTTCTCTGTTCCTTCCACCCACAATCTGTCAAATTTTCAAAGCTCTCTTTCCTAATTATGCTCCTTAGAAAAGTCAGAAGTCACTTCCTGATGTTAAGTAAAAGTTTCCTTTTTCTTCACATTTTCTCCAAAACTTCATCGGTGCTCACATATCCGGTCCCTTGTATTTTCAGCGTTCTTCAGGAAAACCACATTACAGGTGTATAAAGTAAAGATATTTCTCATCTAATTTATCAGGGTTGATTAATAATTAAGGTCTCCAATCCTATAAAACAATCTTTAGATAGAATAGTGAAACTTTTGTCAAAATTTCGTAAATTTAATTCTATATATAATTACGAAGCATCAGTGATATTTAAGATTTACATAGATAATATATATAAATATATTTTACATATATAAATATATAGATATGAGTACATTTTTATCAAGTGATAGAAAATCAGACAAATGGTCAATAAATTGCATACAGTCATTATATGGCTTAAGAGAATGAGTGATCTTCCCCTTTTTCTCTTTCTCTCTCTCTCTTTCTCTCACTCTCTCTCTCTCTCTCTCTCTCTCTCTCTCTCTCTCTATCTATCTATATATATATATATATATATATGTATGACAAAAGATAGTTTTAAAGTTGTTCTATATTTACGGGATAAAGTGCTGAATATCAGAGGTAGAATATTCTCCTTCCGTGAGAAAGATTATTCATAATTTGGAAAATTTGATCAGTAAAATTAATTGACATAAAATATCTATAGTCCTTAATATATTTAATTTAAATAACATTTGCTGCCTAATACAAAGTAAACACACCTATACACCCCCATATATATATATATATATATATATATATATATATATATATATATATAAAATCATGAAAACGAAAGGTAGCGATAACAGTAGCGTATATTCTGAAGGAAAAAGCAAAGGGAAGACAACTCTAATAATCGCAAAAGCCGCTGCATCAAGGACGTTGGCGTTTTTACAATGACAACATAAAGCATAAAAAATGGCGGACATCCAGAAATTCAATATATTCATCGTTACTGTTCGATGACAAAGAAATGACAATGGACTTCTCGTTGGAACACCGGCATTTATAAAAGTGAACATAGTCAACACACAGAGGCAACAGGCTGTTTCATGCTGGACGCAATCGTCAGGCCGCGAGTGTTGGATTTTTTCTCGACTATTTATATATACTGGTCAGTGGTGCATTGTGGGTAATAATAAATAGTCGAGGAAAATTCAACACACTATATTTAATAAATAACAATGGTATGTCTCTTTCAAATAAGTCGTGCCCACTTTGTAATATATATATATGAAAAAATATAGTTTTAAGGTTTGCTATATTTATGGGATAAAGTGCTCAATATCAGAGAGAAAGAGTATGTAAATATAAAAGTGACTATTGAAGTCAACACTCAGAGGCGACAGGCTGTTTCTTCCTAGACGCAATCGTCAGGCAGCTAGTGTTGGATTTTACTCGACTATTTGTATATATGGGTCAGTGATGCATTGCGGGAAATCCATTTTGGCGGTTATTTTGGAGGGAGTTCCTTCTTTATTTATTTATTTGGGTTAATTTATTTTTTTATTTTATATATTTATTTATTCTTTTCGGTTTTCTATGTTTTATTAACTTGGTAAAAAAAATTAGGGAATGTCTTAAGTCACTTATTTTACTTGTTTTTTTCTTATTTATGTTTATTTTTATTAGTTCCAACGGTTATTTTAGCGGGAGCGATTTGTAATTTTTTCATTGGTTTATTTATTTATTTTGGATTAATTTTTACTTTTTTATTTTGTAATTTTTACTTACTCTATTCAGTTTTCTATTTTTAAGTAACGTAGTAATTTTTTATCGTTATAAAGCAAATATAGCTATTTTCTCGTCCAATTTTTGGATTGATTGTTGAAGTCTATTCTAACGGTAGGATTCGTTTGTTGATTTGTTTATTGTTTACTTTATTTATTTATTTATTTATTTATTCGGATTGATTATTTTTACTTTTATTTTATGTATTTATTTTATATTTTTATTTGTTCTATTTCTAACGGGAGTGGCTTGTTAATTTGTTTATTATTTGGTGGAGTTTATTTATTTTACTTGTTTTTTATATTATTTTGTTTATTTTTCTTTATTCTTTTCAGTTTTCGCTTTTTAAGTAACGTAGTAAAAAATTGTTTTCGTGTCTATATTTTGAGATGAGCTCAGATCCTTTATTTAATAATTTATTTTGGTCTGGGAAGGTAATAATAGCTATTTTTTCCTCCAAGCAAAGTTTGAAGGCTTTGGATTGATTGTTGTAGGCTGATGATCTTTTACTTATTTTCCATATTTTTGGTGTGATTTGCGTTTGATTTTTAATTTCCCAGATGTACTTAGAAAGCATTGTGCTGTTCGCGTATTAACTATTTGTAAAAGATGTTTTGCGTGCATAGTTTCTTTGTTTCCAGGGTCCTTCAGTTACTCCTATGTATACTTTTTTTCATTATCTGGGGATTTTACCGTGGCTTGGTATATTACGTTGTTTTGTCAACAATTACCGCTTAAGGGACATTCATTCTTTATTCTACAGTTACACGGGGGTTTAATTTGTTCGGGTGGTTTGTTGATATTTTTCCTGTTGTGCTTTTTTATTATTTGTGCCATGTTCTCGGTGCACCTTTAGCTGATTTTTACAAAGTTTTTATTGTATATTTTGTGTAGAGTTCTTGATTCCGGGAAGAGTTTAAAGAACATTTTTTCCTGCGTTTGTTTTTACGTTTTTGCTGCACGGTGGTTTGAACCATATGTTATTTATCTTCCTGTTGACCTTTTTTGTGTGCTGTGGTGAGTATGTGAGTGTTGCCGGGAATCCACTAACTTTGGGAGCTATTTCGTAGTCTTTCTTAGCTTCGTTAAATAACGATCAGGACGAGAAGTTGTTTGCCTTGATAAAGTTGTAAGATGAAACGCGTTTGCAAAAACTAATATTTTTTCCAATTGTCATTTCTATACTAAATTGTCTTGTCCACATAATTATTCTGGGAAATTTTACTATATATACATATGTATATATTTGCACACACAAACACACACACACACACACACACACACACACACACACACACACATATATATATATATATATATATATATATATATATATATATATATAAGCAATGAATTTATATTTAATTGAATATTTCTATAATATCAGACATTATTATAGTTGATACTCGTATTTGAAATGGACGGACCATTTCTACTTTTACTTTAAATGACGCGTATTACATCTATCGGACTGCGTATTCGAGAAATGTTGCTAAAAATGGTACGCAGGTTCGATCTGTACCAGAGAGCACGTTTTCTATATCAAAAAATCTTGAATGCCCCGACCGATAGACGCAGCATACTTTTTAAAGTAAAACGACGGGATGTTGCCAGTTACATCAAACATGAGAACTATGGAAAAAAAGAAGAACGACATTGTCATAAATAGATAGATAGAAACAGAATGGAAAGAAAAAAAGAAAGAAAGAAATTGAAATAAACAGACTGAGATAGATAGATGAATGAGAATAGATAGATAGATAGAAACAGACTGAGATAGATAGATAGATAGATAGATAGATAGATAGATAGATAGATAAGGAACAGACTGAGATAGATGGAAGAATATAAGAAAGAGACTTAGATAGATAGATGAATAGATAGATAGATAGATAGATAGATAGATAGATAGAAACAGACTGAGATAGATGGAAGGATATATAGAAAGAGACTTAGATAGATAGATAGATAGATAGATAGATAGATAGATAGATAGATGGAAGGATATATAGAAAGAGTCTTAGATAGATAGATAGATAGATAGATAGATAGATAGATAGATAGAAACAGACTGTGATAGATAGATAGATAGATAGATAGAAATAGATGAGATAGATAGATAGATGAAAAGTCTTAGATAGATAGATAGATAGATAGATAGATAGATAGATAGATAGATAGAAACAGACTGTGATAGATAGATAGATAGATAGATAGATAGATAGATAGATAGATAGATAGAAACAGACTGAGATAGATGGAAGTATATATAGAAAGAGTCTTAGATAGATAGATAGATAGATAGATAGATAGTCAAGTGAATCGGTGAAAAATTAATTCTAAAGTATTTGTTCGTAAATAGTTGCTTCTGGGTTTGCTTCGCTGTCTGACCATTGTAGCAAGAATTCAAGAAAAATGTCTAAAAGCTTCTATTTTTTTTATGTTTCTTCAGATGTCAGCGGCTGGTGCCAAGACTCATCTCAACTCTAATGCACGCAGACCTTCACAAGGATTCCCAAGACACCTCCCGAGTTGAAGGTCTTAAATCGGTGCTAAGGAATAATTCTTGAAACTACTCGGGCGAAATAATCCGAGAAAGTGAAGTAATCTTCCCCAGCAACAACAACCACAACAATATTGTCCATCCTCATCAAAAAATAGTGAAAACAAAAGAGAAAAAGTCAAGAAATAGGCATGAAAAAATATACGGAAATAAAAAAGATATATCACAGAGTGTTATAAAATGAAAGAATTTCAAATGGATTTGCGTTTTTTAATAGTGATTGGGAAAAAAATTGAAAAAAATAAGGAAAAGAAATAAAAGAGAAAAGAGAATTGATGCCTGAAGGGTGGGAATTGTGGGATGTGTGCTTTGGTTAAAAGTGTTCCGTTGGGGCCCCCCACCACATCGACGCCCCGTGGATATTTGTGGTGACACGTGACTGCGGCCATTGCAAATCCGACAGCAGTCGATTCGTCTTGATTTTTATATCCGTCAGAGCATTGATTGATTAATCGATTTTTTAATTTTTTTTTTTTTACAATCATCGGTGGGTGATCAATGTTAAGTGTCCAGAAGTTAAAATGAGAAAGAATGAATGACTAGCGGAAAGAAAGAAAGAAAGAAAGAAAGAAAGAAAGAAAGAAAGAAAGAAAGAATAAGGACAAGCGGTAAGAAATGAAGATAAAGAATGATAAGAATGAAGAAGAAAGAGAGAAAGAAAGAAAGAAAGAAAGAAAGAATGACAAGCGAAAAGAAAGTAAAAAAAGAATGATAAGAAGAAAGAAAGATTGAAAAAAGAAAGAAAGAAAGAAATATTGAAAGAAAGAAAGAAAGAAAAAGAAATAATGAGAAAATAATGATAAAAAGACAGAAGCGGAAAAAAGAAAGAAAGAAAGAAAGAAAGAAAGAAAGAAAGAAAAAAGAAAAAGAAAGACAAGCGAAAAGAAATAGGGAATAACAAACGGAAAGAAAGAAAGAAAGAAAGAATGACAAGTGGAAAGAAAGAAAGAAAGAAAGAAAGAAAGAAGGAAAGGAAAGGAAGAAAGGGAAATCAATGAATGAAAGGTCATATATATATATATATATATATATATATATATATATATATATCACTAGCAGTAGAGCCCGGCGTTGCCCGGGGATGTAACAGTAAGAAATAGATCAAGTATCCACCATCATAAAGACTGAAAAATAAAATTGACAAAGATTATTTGTTTAAGGTTGACGGACACGCATGTCTTAATTAGTTTTTTGTTTTTTTTTACGAATTGGTCAAACCCAAACTCAAACAAAAACATTGTTTTCAATCATTATGAGTCTATCGATTGGTGAATAGATTTTATTATAAACAATTGTCTTGTAAATGGAATTTTTAAAGCATTCTGAATGTAAATAATGAAAAAGTGTGCAAGACAATAAGAAACACTACACAAAAAAAAAAAAAGTGAAGTTTTGTTGAAATCGGTTGAAAAATGTAGGTAGCCTTTCTGTAATCTTTTAGTTTTTACAATTTATGATTTTTACTTATTGAATACAGTAAAAAAAAATTGCATATTTTGCTTGTGGTGATTCATAATTAGAATTCTGATTTAAATATATTTTCCACTCGTTGTTTCTAATACAAAAAATATTAACTTTATTTGGGTTTATTAATTATGATCTAACAAATCTTATTCATTTAGTAGACTTTCGGTAATAATAATCTTTAAAAATTTGTGATTTATACTTATTGAATACAGTAAAAAAAATTGGACACCATGTGTATTTAAAGTAGTTTCCCGTTCCGATTATTATTTTTAATTAGGACTTGTGTATATTTAGATTTCATTATCTTTCCCTAAAAATAAAGAAATTATTCCGATGTTTGTATTCGTACAATCAGTGGAGATCGTTAGATTATTGTTTAAGGTTGACGGACACGCATGTCTTAATTAGTTTTTTTATTTTTTACGAATTGGTCAAACTCAAACAAAAACATTGTTTTCAATCATTATGAGTCTACCGATTGAATAGAATTTTATTATAAGCAATTGTCTTGTAAATGAAAGTTTTAAAGCATTCTGAATGTAGAAATAAAGAAAAAAGTGTGCAAGACAATAACAAACACTACCTGCCAAAAAAAAAGTGAAGTTTTGTTTTATCGGCTGAAAAATATAGGAAATCCGCTCCCATATTTAAAGTAACCCACACACACAAAAAACGCGATGTGAGTTGTCCCCTTCCATTTTCACAATGTCTCTTAATCTTGTTTTCAAATTGATTTTGTACAAAAACAATTATATTTTTCCCATTTTTGGCGCTGTTAGAACCACCACAAGGTAATTTTATGTAGTCCTGTGAAGTTTTGTTGAAATCGGTTGAAAAATGTAAGAAATCCGATCCAATATATAAACGTTACAGACACACACACACACAACCTGCGTTTTATAATAAGTAAGATTAATCGTTTATAGCTAGCTAGAGTGATAGATATTAAAATACTGAGAAACCAATAAAAAAAAAGAAATGCATATTATATACGTACCATCAGTGTAATATAGGTAAATAGAAACAGACTGAGATAGATTGACAGATATATAGAGACTAAGCTAAATAGATAGATAGAGAGAGAGAGAGAGAGAGAGAGAGAAAGAAAGAAAGAAATAAAGAAAGAAATGAACAATGTAATCGATATTTTTCTCTCATTTATATAGGTCTATAAATGAATTACTTAAAATATGAAATTTTCGCATCCATATATATATATATATATATATATCTTGGACTTCTTCATGTGGAACACCCTTGCGGCTCCATGTTTTCCACCCTACTTTAATGTACAAAAATTTCAATGCAATGTCACTCGCTATCTACTGTCCTCCTGAATACTCTTTCCTCTTTCTGCTCATTACTATTTTTTTATGTTCCTAATTCCTATAGTAACCCCTTGTGTGTTAGTGGCTATACTGCCTTTCTTAGGGTCATACTGATTTAGAAAAAAAAAAAACCAATAGCCCTCCTATATATATATATATATATATATATATATGTGTGTGTGTGTGTGTGTGTGAACATTGAAGTCAACACTTAAAGGCGACAGGCTGTTTCATGCTAGACGCAATCGTCAGGCCATGGGTGTTGTTTTTTCTCGGCTATTTATATATACGGGTTAGTGGTACATTGTGGGTAGTCTATTTTGGCGATTATTTTGCCGGAAGTCATTTATTTGTTAGATTATTTTATCATTATTATTTTTATTTCTTATCTTATATATTTATTTATTTTTGTTTTAATCGGTGTTTTATTAACTTAGTAAAAATTTGTTTGTATTGCTTATTTAATAGTTTTGTTTTGTTTTGGTTTGGGAAGATAATTAAAGCTATTTATTCAATTTTGGTGTTGATTGCTGTAGTTTATTCTAACTATTATTTTGGCGAGGGCAGTTTTTTATTTGTTTATTACTTCATGTATTTATTTGGATTGATTATCTTTACTTGTTTTTTCTAACGGTTAATTCATCGAGGTCGGTTTGTTAGTTTGTTTATTTATTTGGATAATTTAGATTAATTTAATTTTATTATTTATTTATTATACTGTATATTTCTATTTACTCTTTTCGGTTTTCGATTTTTAAGTAACGTAGGTAGCTATTTTTTAAGTTAGTAAGTTGTTAGCCTACTGCATAGCACCCAACCTGGAGGAACAGGGTCTGTTTTTCGTCTGGCCCCTACTTCACAGACCCGTTGAGCTTGGTTAAACTTGCTAAGAGCCGGAGCCCCTGCCAACATAGCTCTGGGGTGGGTCGTTGAAGCATGCAAACCGTTCTACCATTGCTACTAGTTTGTTCGGAATCTAATGTTCGATCTTACAATCAACTTTTTCCTGGATTAACAATGTTTAAATCCGTCTAAATGGGCACGTGACCAAGAACGTTCGCATTCCGACGATGAGATCTGGGTTCGAATCTCACTATGGTCTATTTTTCTGGAAGGAGACTTCCATATGTTTATCGGACTGGAGGGTAGATCCTTTTGGAAAGTGATGAAAGACATACCAGGGGTTGACTCAAGACATGTAAGTGAAAATGGGTAGACGGAACCATTAGAGGCTGTCGATAGCTGTGCTAGCACGAACTTTCAAGTCATCGTGGCCGAGGGCTTGAGCGTGCTAGCTTTGTTCAAGCTGTTGATCACGCTAGCTAACACGGTCTTTCCCAAGAACTGTAACTAAGTTCTGTTCAGCATTAGTATAAACCACGGGTAAGCACTGTACGTGTTGAATAAACACAATAGGGTTTGGTTAGCCGGTTAACCTCAAATATGAGTTGCCAGTTATAATAATTCCATCAAAATTTATACATTCTTTTTATTTATTCTTTTATATATATATATATATATATATATATATATGTGTGTGTGTGTGTGTGTGTGTGTGTGTGTGTGTGTGTGTGTGTGTGTTAAGGGTTTTTATTTCTCTATTGGATCATGTTAATTAAGTCATAGCAATTATGTGTGAAAAATAATATCGCCCAAATGTCGTCCGCCACACCTCGACTCTATGGCCCAAATTTTTGATGACGTCTCTGCATAGTTGCACCTCGATCTCACCAACATGCCTTATTATCTCATCCTTCAGCTGTTGAATTGTTGTTGGCTTGTTGGCATAAACCTTACTTTTGAGATGACCCCAAAGGAAGAAATCTAAAAGCCGTCAAGTCGAACGATCGTGGTGGCCAATTGACTTCATGGGCAATTAACTTCGCTGTTTCGAAAGATGAAGCGATCTGGGAAGTTCTCATTCAAATTCTGTTTGAACGTTCATTTTCGTAATAGGCTTCAATAACTTTAACACGCTTAAGTTGTTAAGTCTGAACCAAAAAAGAAAAAATCATGAGATGCTTAAACTTAATTCATTTAAAAAACGCAAGTTATTGGAACATTTATATATATATATATATATATATATATATATATATATATATATATATATTCGCGATTTGGAATCATATTTTAAATAAATAATTATATTTATGCTCTACTTTTGTAAGCACTATATTTTAAAAATAAGTAAAATACTAAGGGACTTTGGATTATTTACCTGTTCCTTCCTATTTTCTATATATTTTCACATATATATATATATATATATATATATATAAAAATATATGAGATGCTTAAACTTAAATTACATTTAAAAACCTACAATTTAAAAAAAAATGTATTTGTAGGTTGACGATTTCAACTGGAACATCCCATATATATATATATATATATATATATATATATTTTATATTTATATATATGCTCTGTAAATTTTTGAGCTCTATTTTGTAAAATAAAATTTAAGGAATTATATATCTTACTGTTCTTTCATTTATTTTATATATATAATATATATATATATTATATATGCTCTACTTTTGTGTGTGTATATATATATATATATATTTTATATAATATATATATATATATAGGTTATTCTAAAAATATTTTAGACTTTTATTCTCGAATTAGTATTGAAAGATGTTTAGATAGCCAAAATTTAAACCCTGAGCATCTACCCATTTCTAAGGTTATTTATGACCCTGGAAATAAAATTCTAAAGGTTTACATACCAAAATATCTTTGAAGTTTCTAAATCTTCTTTGTAACTTATTGCTGTGTATGTATGTATGTATGTATGTATGTATGTACCTACCTATCTATTTTTCAGTTGTTTTATGTCTACTTATCTGATTTTATGTTGTTCAGAAAATGAATAGGAATAAATTCTACTTCTATATAAACCATTACTCCATCCGTCTCTCCGAAAACATCCAAATGTTTTCTTTTTAAAAATCTTATATCTAATAAAGTATGTGGGTATAATATTAGGGTATACGGAAAAGTCTTTGAAACAACTTACTCCCCCAAATCAGCATTTTTGGGTGGGGATGTGTTTAGGAAACCTGAGAAATCTTTAGGTCAAGTTTGTTATTCATGTATTAAGTTGTTCAGAAATCTATCTATCTATAGTTTAAATAGGAACCCATTTCTATCTATCTATCTATCTATCTATCTATCTATCTATCTATCTATCTATCTATTTCAAT